ATTTGAAAACAAATCTCCCTGAAAACATACTCCACCTTTCACATTCTTGCCAGATACAAACCTAAATAAAACTACGAAGATTGCCAACTGTCCATATCATTTTATAATATAGCATCTTTCAGGCTCTAGCGCAGCTCCCCAAGCCCCCACCATTTTGGTCGCCATTGCGAGAGAACATTTGGCGACTGAAATTTCGACAAAAGTCGCCAATTGGCAACAAACAGGAGGACATGTTGAAAATTTATCCAACGAAAAACAAAACGTAATCTTTCGATTTCTTTACGTTGATTCAGATCAGTCAAATGTAAACTTAGCAGCATCATAACGTTGAAACGGTTAAATTGAAGTCGCTAAATTTTCCCAACAGTGGCGCGTTATCGCGAAAAAGAAAATCTTGAAGTTGCGAGGATACCGATCGAGGAGTTTCCGATACAGTCCCTAAAAAATGTTTAATAGCATTAGCATAATAATAGCGATTGCCAAGTCACGCACACTATTTCAATCCGTTAGTCAACAAGTGTGAAATTGGTTCAACTTCAGCGAGGAGACCGAAGAGGGAGTGTTGGTTTCTGAGCGCTTCCAATACAGTCAGTAGGTGTTTCGGAAAACTGTTTTCAGCCACCTTAAACTAAAAGAAAATTTAAGGAAAATGCTGTTTTTATTAAAAGAATTACTCGATGCGCGCTAATATTCCGATTTGTAAGAACAAGGTGTATAGCGATACTGTTAACCGCATTATATGAGATCTATTTTGGCTTGTGGGTGGTACACATTATTGGTGTTTAAATTCGCCTTTTTCGCAACTGTAGAAAAAAGGTGAAATCATTGTCCAGTGGATGAAAATTCTCGCGAAATTTAATTCCCTATAGGACATTCAAATAACAGAAAAATGATCTGAAATGTGAAAAAAAAACAACTTATACAAGATGTGTATCGGCAAATACACAAATTTTATTAACTGGTCTTACTGGTAATTCAGTTTATTTTGTACCTTCTGTTGTGAAGTGTTGTCTTTAATTTGCAAAGGTTTTCGCATATGGAGTAGAGATTCTCGTTATCATCTTCATCTGAATCGACTAGATTGGTCAAACTCCTTCGAATATCTTTCGTCCAGTCGTCAAAAGTTACGACATTTTGGAAACTAAAATGAATTTGAAACGCTTGAATCACGAATTTTAATTGCCTTCTTTTGTATTTGCCGGCCTTGTTTTGAGATCGCAAAAATATAACCTCGCAAAACACCGTCTCACCAAATTCATAAAAGTTCTCGCCACATAAAGTACCACTGAGTAAGGTAGAAGAACCGATCTTCTCAGATAAGTTGCAGTTGAAGTGATTGCCAAAAAGAAGCCTGAAATCCTGAGAAGGTTCAAAATCGGAGGAATTTCAAGCCCGTGCCTTCCGAGACTATAACTGAGCTGCGTAGCCGCATGAAGGAAGAGGGAACGGCCAAATTTAAGTAGGTCCTCAGGTTAGATGGTCCGACGGTGCTCAATTAGTATCTGGGAGGAGCGGGTCCGAATCCCGTCGAAGCCTGAACTTTCTCACAACCTTCTATTCTACAACTGCATCGTTTCTTCACTCTAAGTGCTTATTCTTATCCCTTAACTTTCGCAAAAAAAATGAAACCAAAAAAACCAACAAACAAAGAAATGACGGGGTACTCTGCATCAATGTAAATCTCTAAAAAGCAGTACAATAGAGAACCTTCGACGCTGGAAATGATCCGTGGTTTCATTTTCATACGGGTATGTCTCCTATGTCTTCACTTTTGTATCACAGTTGGCAGTCGCACAAGTCAATCGAAAAAAACGATCTTGAAAACTGGTGAGAAAAATGAAAGTCGAACAACCAAGGCGTGTTTAGAGGCGCTCGTAATTAGTTAGAAAATTACTTTGGCTTAGGTAGAGGGGGAAGGTGAAGGAGATTGTGCAGCGACGAGTCACATCTCTTCTGGTTACACTACCAAGCGTGCAATTTGCCTCAGAAAGCAAAAGCCTTCGCCATACTTGTGATTGTCATTTTAAAGCCTCTATCAAAATAATTTCTGATTAATGACACTTTTAGCACGTGTCCATTTCAGTTTCTGAAAGAAGTCTACAAATGCGTGCAGTAACAAAAACGGCGAAAATTCGTCAAAATCGCTCTGACGAATTTGACGACAATTCGTCAAAATCGCCAAATCCATGAACAACCACTCGGTTTCACAAAGTTTCGTCAAATCTGCCATTTCGGTCACCGCGTGCATTTCTGCACTTAAGTAGAGATATGTTGAGGGAGTTTCCTCTCTCCGTTTCCCATATCAGCTTCCTGAGTGGTCGAGAAAAGATGGCAGGTGAAAACAAACCATTGGCTAGATGACAGCTGTAACTTTGCCAAGAATTAAAATTGTAGCTCTTACCATAGAGAGAAACTGTGAAATCTGTAGCAATGACTGACCGGAAGTCACCATACTTTCATTATTTCAACTTACGACATAATGCGATTTTCATCTGATCGAAAACAGTGAGAATACAAACGCTAACAATGGATAATCTCAAGGAATTACTTAAACCAAAAACGTTTAACACAGTTAGCCACGCTGCAGTTGTTATTTGGATCCTGATCGGTGTAATCTTCCTTGGCATTTTTGCATACTCAGAAAACAGCGAATCCAGGTATGATTTCCGCTGTGCCGGGGCGAAGAGTGAAAACATCGACCTTGTTCGTGGAAGATGTTTTGAGTTATACGAGAAGCGGTATAACAAACACGATGTTCCTATCTATGCCTTCGTG